AGACATGCAGTCCTACTCTAAATCGATATAAAAGGTTCTATTTCCACTGGCTATCTGAAAAAAAGCCTCCTGCCCAGACAGACCAGAGCTGCCCAGGATGAGGGACGAGGTTTAAGTGGTTTTAATGTTGGGGCTGATGTGGCCTCAAAACAATTAAGAGTTGGACTCTTATTCTGCTTTTCCAGTGCCCCCAGTATGAGCCAGTCATTTTAACCAGCAACTTATAACAGATTAACAAAGTTCAGCAGGAAATACAGCCAATAAAAACCCAACAAGAATCAGCGGCATTAGCAGGAGGCCAGTCTTCGTGTTAATCAGTGTGAAAACGTGCAGTTTAAAGCTGAATTTAGAGGCTTATCTGGGATCGATACACAAAACAGAGAACAGCAAAGTTCAGAGTGTTTCAATCACTAAATAAAGATTGTCATCCAGTCCGGCATTTCATTCGCCTTTTGCGCTCGGTGACTCATTACCAGCCTGCTCCACTTTTCACCACAGAACATCCAGATGATAATTTACAGCCTGGGAAGCTGCCAAGAAGACAAAGTACAAAACGCCTGCGAGACGTTTCAACTGAGCGGATGCTTCTGAAGAGGAAGGAAAAAAAGAGCGGCAGGGACGAGGTTTACAATTAACCTACGTTCATCCTGTGGTGGCACAAAAACATGCAGATTGAAACCCGGGCATGGAAAGTATCGTAACGCACGTTTTCATGGGGTGGAAATTATTCTTTTTCCGCCTCCACTTTTATGAAAAACTGCAGGAAGGCATGGGCACATCAGTGCTGAGCGCCTGAAGCTAAAAATTCAACACATTATTATATGATCAGAGGTTAAAGCGGCTGAAAGAAAGCTTTTCCCCGAGGTTAAGGTGCCGCCTAACCGAGTCTGCATCTTCAATGTAACCACAGAAGAAAAACCGTGAAACTGTGCGGGGTGATGCTGCTCTCACTGAGAAATCCTTCAGCCTGCATCATGAAAGCAGGGTCGGTTCTGCTTTCCTTATATACTACCACATCTGTGCTGTCAGGGCAGTGGATGTTAAACCTGCAGAAATTCCAGGTTTTAGCCTGTGCCAAAGAAAACCAGGGTATCATTAACACAGGCGTACTGTTTTTGTTTATGAAATGGTCTTAAGTAAGCTGAAATCACACATTTCTACCAGTGAAGGTAACGCAGACCCTGCTGACATGTTCTCACGTGCGTAAACGCTCGTTTTAAGACTGGAAAAATCCCTGAAAACAAGGCCAAAGTTTCAAATATCGAGCAGCTGCTTCCAAACATGTTTTGGCCTCCAACCAAAGGAAAATCACCAGGGTTGTATAAGCTGTTGTTTTTGTTTGTTTTTTTTAAAGCTAGGGTTTGTTAAAGATTAGAGGACCTCATTAAGGAGTTGGACACGTCAGCATCAGTGCGGAGGCTCTACTGGTCTGCCGCCTGGACACCAGGAGCAGGTTGTCTTCTTTTATTTTTGTTATTGGCAAACAGAATAAAGGCTCACTGATGTCACATCTGATAAAAACCACAGAAGCAATCCAGTGTCAAAAACAAAGCTTTACACCTGCGTTCTTCTAAATGTCCAAAAGGGAGCAGCTACTCTGTATAGAGGTCTTTTTTGTAAAGATTTCATTTTTAGAGTCAGATGCCGATTATCCAGTTTATGCACAGTCAGACATCTTTTATATACAGTCTATCGCTAAAAAAAAGGGAAGGCGTGTATAATTTAAAACTATTTTTTCACTGAGCAGTCAAATAGTCATCCAAACTGTCACATCTGTTCCCCGTTTCTCACCCTATTAAAGTGGGACAGCCTCGAACACTAAGCTGGATAGTGAATGAAATGAATGGGTCAAAAATTATTCTTAATCAGAAGTTAGTTGGGTTAAAGGGGGTGGAGCTAAAACAGCTCTTCTCAGATGGAGGATGAACTGCACCCCGTGTTATTTTGGACTTGCAAAATACTCCAGCAGTCCTGCGCAGCTGGAAAAGAGGGTGTCATTTTAACCATCTTCAAACCGCAGCTAGCTGTGCTTTGCAGAAATGATAAACAATGTTAGGAAACAATGAGCTTGAACTAAAACCTACTTCCTGCTTCGACGTGCTTCTACTCTGTGCTGCTGATCTTTGTACAAAGCTTCAAATATGTCAGTTAGACAGCTGCTGCGTCAGCATGGTTAACAATACATTTATGTCAAGTACAGTAAATGTGCTAAAGGCCACCCAATCATACACCTCCAGGAGTGTTTCCAAAAAGCAGAAGGCACCTGTAAGTGTGCTACATGTTTCCCTGTGTCCATCGATTGGAAGTATTCTGGGTTGGCAGTTTATAAAAAGCCACCTGACCGAGTTCTGGTTGGATGTGGAGGCTGAACTGGAAGACAAAGAAGGAATGGAAACAGGCCGAGATAGGAATGCGTCTGCAGGTTGTTTATCTCCGTCTCCCTGCAGGGCGCTGGAACACAGCAGAAGCAGCTTTCCTTCCATCGTTCTAAGAACGACTGCTCACAGTCACACACTGCACAGATCTCAGATGGGTAGTTAAGTCTGAAAATGTCAGCCTGACCCCCTCAGAATCAGCTGACTGCTTTTTTTTTACACCAACTTCAGTTTATGGAATGAAGCTGTGCAACATTTTACCTTCATACTTTCAGAGTTACAGCCCCTAACAGAGGCTTGCTCGTCATTAAAAGTGCAAAGTTTTGTACTCTTGATGGTCTGCGACGAAAAAGCAAAATTATGCACGGCTTCATGAAATATACTAAAGTTATTGTACATGAAGAAAAATCAGCTGATTCTGAGCAGGTCAGGCGGGAAGAAGGGAAGTTTTCATGGAATGACTTCTGTTTACTGATCTTAGGATTGCCAGGGCAGAAGCATACCCCCCCAAAAAAAAAGAAAAAAAAAAGAAAAATCAAACTGAACTATTATAAGTAGTTTTCATTTATTAGTTTATATCTTTATTTATTTAAAAATTCTTCATTTAAAATCAGTTTCCTGAGTGGTCTGCATGTTTCAGTTTGCTGTAATGTGGTTGTGTAGACAGCCCAATCCTCGGGTTACTTTGATATTTCACTGAAACTAAAGAGATCTCGATTTTTTTTCATATTTAGGTTTTAGTTTATTTTTACCAAACTGTGATACTGTCAGTCGATTTCAGCCGCCTAAGGAGGAATTTGGGACTTGAGTCGTCATCATTTGGTAACGGTTATGATTTCTATGAGCTGCAAGAAAATTAAAAGAGGAAGGGCAGGCCGAAAAAAAAAATAAAAAAATCGCATTTCCATATTCTTCTTCTACCCATCAGAGCTCTTTACCCATTTAGATTGTTTTGGTGCGAGTTGTGCAGGTTTGGAGAACATGGATTTAGAAAATTGTGGAACTAAATAGTCCTGAAAGCACGATAAGCTCAACAAAAGTGCCCTTATACAAAAACCAAGAATTTTCATGCAGGAACTATTTTCTCTCAACCAAACCACATCTGAAAGCGTATCATTCTCCAGGAGGAAGTGTAAGCGGCCCGTGTCGAGAGGCTAATGGTTGTGCACCAGCAGAGCTTGCAGGTCCACATTTACATATTGAAACTTGTACTGTTACCAGGGAGTGGTGCCAAAAAATATGGTAAACTCTGAGCTGTTGTTGCTCCAGCAGCTGACTGTTTTTAGGTGACAGAAGTCAAAATACACACCCTCTCTCTTTCTTCTCTGTCGCTAAACCGAGTGTTAAAAAGAATGACAACTTTCCACTTTCGTCAGTTTCTTTTGGTTGCATTTCTTCCTCTTTGCGAGGAACTTTATTGCTGTTCTCTTCTCTTGCTGTGTCAGATTATCAACCAATCAGCATCTGACCCAACCCCGTTGGCTTTTTAGAGGGCCGCAAACACTCCAAAGCATGTGTGCTGGTTGAATTTGCACAGTTCCTCTCTCTGTGCAGCCAAAGAGCTGAATAAACAGACGCTGCACCACAACATTAATGTCCTCCCTCTCGGCTGAGCTGTAACGATAGCAGGCCACATGCTTCTATTCACTGGAAAAAAAACAGTTCCCCCATGAAACAAACTGTTCGTTTGAGTAACCGGGTAAAATGATGGCAAGCTCTGCAGCACTTTAATAACCATTTAGTTGAATTATATTAAAGCAAAGGCTGATATCTCCAAAACAGCACGACTCGCACCAAAATGATCCAGATGCATAAGTAGCAAAACAGTCCAGAGGAAAAATGAACAAGCCTGATTTTGGTAACCTGTCCCTTAAAGGGTAGATCTGTGCCTCAGGTCTCGTGCTTCCTTTAGTTTTTAAACATCTCTACATTATTAGCAGCTGGAAGCAGATTTTCACACGAGTGTTACATCTCCAACAGACACACTCTCCGCTGGAGCGTGAGCAGCACAGCTCATCGACAACGAAGCTGCTTTTCTTAATCATGGCTGACACTTCTGTTTGTGAGGTGGAGTAGTGTTAACATCGTCCTATAAATAAAAGCCTCTGCGTGACAGAGACCTGGTATTGTCTTATTTCAGAGTGGACTCAAAGTGGCAATCAAACACGAAACGAGCAGAGGAACAATGTCAGCAGCTGGAAACTTTGGACAAAGACATGAAAGGACCACAGAATAAAAACAGCTCAGTGACGGGCCAACGAGCAGCAAGTCAGGCTCGTTTTCTAGTTTGTCGAGTGAGCGTCGAGTGAGCGTTTAAACCCTACTGTTCTAAAAACACGAGTGAAAATCAACCAAACCCAGGGGGTGACTCAGACACTCAGACCCAGGTTTAAGGGGCTGTGTGTCTGTATGTGGTCTTTCTCTACAAAACAAAATCAAACTGGGAGTGCAGCTTCTATCTCTCATCAACAGTGCTTAAGAAAAAAAATCACCACATCTCACTCTAAAATAAACCAGGAAACACTTTACAACAATAATAAAACAATCACAAAACAGATAGTATAACATCACAAGTGATATAGCTCTCTATGTTCATTGTACTTCAGGAGAAAAAGAAGAAGAAAATTCATCTGAAACCACGACTCCAGTGTTTACTTTTTCACTTAGTGTACGTTTGCTTGTTTACGACAGGAAATTAGTGTTTTTAAGGCTACAGAATAAAGTCGGAGCCACAAGATTTCCTCTCTCAGTAGTAAGTTCTGGCTGTGATGAGGACAGTCTCCGAATGCAGGGAAAAAAAAACGAAAGAAAGAAAATCGGCTTACAGATTGTCCAATAGTGATGTTAAAAATCAGCCAATGGGCTCTCGGCTCCTTCAAAGCATCAGACTGGTGTGCAAAACCTCACCTTCACACCTCAAATCCAGGCAGGGTCCACAGATAGGAGCAAAAAAAGATCCACAGTTCTTAATCTTTCCAATTGAGGCTCTTCAGGTAAAAGTGTTTACAGGAGGCTCCTCTGCTGCTCACACACACATGTATGAAACACACACACACACACACACTCCACCTTATTGCCTCTGTTTGTTTTATGGAATTCACTCTCGCAGTTCAGTGACTCACAGAGGATACTCCTGCACACCCTGTTTTCACGTCTCCTGTCTGTGACCTCTGAGGGTCACTCCTGTGTGTGCAGGAGTATCCTGTAACACCATCTCCAGAGTCCAGGCGTCTTAGTGGCGCGTATTATCTCACTTCATCCTGTTCTGCCGCATCAAAGGCACGATGCAGGACGGCGGCCCCCCCTTCGACAGGAACGGGTGCTTGAGAAGCTCGCTGGCGGTGGCCCTCTGAGCCGGGTCTCGCACTAACATCCGGTCCAGGAAGCTTTTGAGCAGAGGGGAGACCTGGGAGAAAAGAGACATCCAGGTGTTACTGATGCTAGAGTTAAGATTTTAATTGCTTGACGCCAAAACATCCAGCTGTTAATCTAACAACCAATCAGATGCTTCATTTAACCACATTGGTTAGTTACTCACAGTTTGCTTGTTTTGTTAAAACATGAATAAAAGTTGAAGCTTGTACTTTAATGTTTACCGATTGTGTTTAGATGCCGATGAAGTTACAAGCCCCAAAGGCAGGAAAAACACTGTTACAAGCCAAAGACTCAAATATTTTAGTTCAAAAACAGTCTCAAACTGTTTTTATGTCCCTGAGAGCAGACATGCCTGATACGGTCATCTCAGGCACATGGAAGCTGCACAGAAGCAGCTTTTTTCAGACCGTGTGCACCGAGGGATCCAGAATAAATAAAAGTAGTATTATTTTGAATTGTGAATCATGTAGAGTTACTCTGGGAGTGCCCAGGATTAAAAATATCAAGAAGGAAATGAGAGTCTTAGCTCCCTTTGAACACTGCTTTTAATCTGAAAGCGTACTGCCCTGATGGATGTGATACTCTTTAGCTCGTTTTGATGCATTCTCAATCATCCAGGTAGGTAAATCTCCAGAAGTTGCTTCTGTTCATCTGGTGAGTCGTGTTTTCAGTGGGAGAAACGTTTCATCACTCATCCAAGTAACTTGGACTGACTGAAGAAGTCACTTGGATGAGTGATGAAACGTTTCTCCCACTGAAAACGCTACATCCAGACGAACAGAAGCAACTTTTGGGGACTCTTTAGTTCAGGTGGCATCAGCACCAGGACCTGAGCCAGGCCACAGATAACTTCTGTCATTGTTGCTTGATGACACAAAGTAGAAATCAAAGTTGCAGATTACTGAACACTCCTTTCAACCTTGCATGTCATTTCGCTCATGCAACATTAAAATAAGGACAAATTATAATCACACCTGTGCTAGCAGTGGCCATAAACACCACCACTCCATTCTTCCTCTTGTGGAAGCAGAAGTTCTGCTTTCATATAAAACTAAAATTTCTGTGCTTTTGATTGTGTTTCTGTCACTAAGGGGAAACTGCAACACTAAATTCTGCCAACTCAACTGTGTTTCATACAAAGGCTGGTTTTATTAAAAGCTGATCTGTCTGGTTTATTTCTGGTGTTTTCAGCTTATTGCCCTTTCTTCTGTTGCTCTACCTTGTGCAGATTCTTCAGTTTGGGTGGCAGGTTGTCTCGAATCATTTTCATGGCTTTGAGTGGCGGCTCATTGAAGTACGGTGGCTCCCCATCCACCATCTCTATGACCATGATACCCAGAGACCAGATATCCACCTGGACACAGAGAGGAGAGACCACCAGTGAGGGGTGGAGACAAAAATACAGGTTTATCCTGACAGACAACACAGCCAGAGTGTTACCTCTGGTCCGTAAGGTAATCTGGATATGAGCTCTGGTGCCATCCAGTATGGAGTTCCAACCAGAGACTTCCTTCTCTGCACTTCCTTAGACACCTGTGCACAGAAACCAAAGTCGGACAGCTTCACCTGCAGATGGAGAGGGAGGAGGAGAAGAAGACAAGAAGAAACAGGAACATTATTGTTAACATCAAACAGCTTTTCTCAAACAGACTTTACTTGAGCGAGCAGCTCGTGCTCATTTTGAGTCTCATTTGTGGGCAGTCCCCATAGCTCTTATTTTGAACGCTCTGTTGTTGCTAAACAGCTGGTTCCAGCACTTCCTGTGTCATGTTACTTGATATCATTCACTCACCCTACAGTCAGAGTGTAAACTGTATATAAAAGATGAATGAAGTCTGATGTTCTCCACACAATCTGACCAAAGAAGGGATGATACTGAGCCAATGACGATGCCCTGGTTCATCCCTCATGTTCACTCAGTTCAATAAAAACTAACAAATAAGAGTTTACAGAGACAGAGAGCTGAGGCATGTTTTCCCCAAAACCTCTATAGAGTCAAGGTGATCCCAGCTGGGCACCTTTCATACCTGGAAGTTACAAACATCTTTTACGGTTCAGCTATGGGTCAGATAGACGCCAAAGGCTAAGACTGCAGCTACCTTCAGATTAAGATGGTGGAGTTAGTGGACTGAATTTGGAAGTGACTTTAAGCTCAGCTGATCTGAAGTTCCCCAAGTGTGTGTGTGCAATTATTCATTCATTTGTTTAGATAAGTGTGGGTGTACTTTCCTGCCTGCATGATGCACACATATACAATCTGATTCTGTGTAAAACACCACTTGGATACTAGATAATAGACTCCTGGTAACAGAGCCAGAATGGTTATCGGTTTACTGTTTCAGCCGCATAAAAATAAATATTCTACACAGTTTATCTGATGAACCACACATGACCTCATGTCAGTCAGGCATCGCTGCCATCCACACCTCTTTCTGAGAAAGTTTTTGCATGGCTGCACACTCAGACACTGAGCCTTGTGCTGAGTGTCTGCCACAGTGCTGGCTGCTGGGTTCAGATTACTCACAAAGAGAAATGAAACGGCCTGTTAGGAGAAGTGGTTCACACTGCACATGTGTGAACACCACCATACACAAACATGAACACGATGGTCACTGAGCTCCAGCAGACGATACAGCACAACCCAGAACAAAAACCCACTGCCTGACCTTACCGTAGGAGGATGAAACCATCACACAAATGCAGCGCTCAGCACGCAGGTGCATTCAGACGCAACGAACACTCTCGCCCCTCTGCCGAGAAACGCTTCTTGCTTGGCTGATTCTGCTTCCCCTGCCAGGCCAAACCACAAGCAGCAAGTAAAACCCAGCCCAGCACCAAAACACCACAGCTGCCAACAGGAAGCACTCCGTGAGAGAACGAGACCACCCAGAGAACTTCAAACTACGGTTTTCAAATAAGCAGACCGCTACTTCCCCCAGAGCCTGCATGCACGTCAGTGCTTCATGTTTTATTGTAACCCGTTTAGGTTCATTCAGGGTGCTAACAGATGACACTCTGACTTGATTTTTTTAATTTACTGAAACTTTAACTACTAATACAGATACTGGAAATAGCTAATCACTAGGATGGAGCAAGACATCCTCTGCTTACAACGGGGAAACAATTTATTCTGGGAAGTGTACTCCTTAGACATGCCACTTTAGACTCATGTTAACCGAGCCATGTTTTTAACTATGAGGCTGGTTTACAGGCAATAAAACGGTGAGAATTTATTTATTTTTGGTTATACTCTTAAACTTGTTTCCTCTAAGAAGGTTGTGGGGGTTTATACTGTTTATTATTACACTGATAAAGAAAAATATTCTTAGAAAATCATTTAGAGGACCTGCCACCCTTCATACATTTGCAGTCTTTAGACATGTATGGAAGTTGTGCTTTCAGTTTTAGTGCTGTATGGGTGAGTATTTTATATAGTTGAGTTTCAACAGCATTCAGTATTTAGACTAATAAGATTTGTCAGATGGTGATGATGATTTGTGTGGGTGTTAAAAGTTTTGCATTCAAGTGATGTAAATTTCCTCATCAGACATTGAGCACAAGGCTGCATGCAAACATCTGCGTGCCCACCAGTTTTTTTGGGACCATGAGGACTTCAACACAAACCCTACAGATGGACTCCAAGTCTACTTGGAAAAAAGGAGAACAGGAATGACTCATCTGTGGTGTCCATCTGTGTCAGTAAGCAAATATAATCCCTCCCTTAGAGCCTTTTCCCTCCAAAGATGAAATTTAAATAATAATAATAATAATAATAATAATAATAAGCTAACACTTTGTGTTTGTAGAATCTGCAGTGTTTGAAAAACTAGCCAACACATCATACAATAAATAAATGAAACAATCTGAAGGTCATTAGAGCTACCAAAACACTACTGGAGACATTACAATAGAAACATTTCTGCCATGTTAACGCTCGTTTACTCATGTTATTCTACTGCAGCAAACTGTGGACACAGAGTCTCACAGGAAGATTAAACACAGCTGGCAGGTGCTTTATCTGTCTCACGACAGAGTAGACAAAGCGCTTTGGTGTCACTGCAGACAAACGCTTGGTCATGCATAGATCTGGAGGCCGAGGGGATGGCGAAACCACAGCTCATAAAGGCATCAACCCACAAGCATTCATCAGATGTGATCAAGCGCAAAGTGGTTTATGCAGAAGCATCAAATGTGTGACTTGCACAGCAAGTGCGCTCTCAGAAGAGGCTCAGCAAAGACCTCAGTCTGTGTATAATACATACGCACTACACTGTATAAGCAGGTTTCCTCTCATTGGAATTTCTTCGAATTATTAAACGTGAATTAAGAAGTGGTGGGCCAACTCGGCCCTGCAGGGCTGAAGAGTTACAGTGAAACGTGTGGTCTTGATTGCAGCTTTAACAGCTGTTACAGACAGCCTAGCATCCGTGATCTGAATCTGCACTTTCTGACTAAAGGGGTGTGAATCCAGATCAAAGATGATTATGAGGTTATGAAAAAAAGGAAAGGTGGCAAACTGCTGAGCTCCAGTTTAATAATTTACTGTATAATAAGGCAAATGGTTGTTCTGTGCTGATGAGCTATTAACTGAGATGTGAACAGAATTACAAACAAAACCACCAAACGACGATGATCACAATGCCAGGAGAAACTGCAGGTGTAACGACGCCAGAAATACACGGCAGCCGCTTCTCTACAGGAACAGCACAAAAAACGTTTCTAATGAGGAACTGATTTTTGGGCATTTCATCGTACACAATATAGAGCCTCGTCTTCTATGAAGAAATGTGTGTGGATTTCTGCAGAATTTTGATTTCATGATGTGATGAGAGAGCTACAACACACACAGTGAACGCATTCAGCGTCACGGTTACATCAACTTATCCTATGTGAGAAAATTCTGGCAGCAGTGATATTAAAACATTAAGTCAGCAAGACCTGCAGAGTTCTTCAGTTTTAGAGGCACAGTTCGTTTGTGTGTGTGTGTGTGTGTGTGTGTGTGTGTGTGTGTGTGTGTGTGTGTGTGTGTGTGTGTGTGTGTGTGTGTGCACTATGACACACCAGAGGATAAGTTCCTTTTTTTATTGGTTTAACTGTGGTTTCATTTTCTGTAGAAAGTAGAAACTTGCTTGTCACCAGGCAGGAAGCGATTGGGCATCTGTCTCAGATGCAGTAGTGGTTAAGAGGCATCTGGTTCCTTTTTCTAGCTGCCATTTTATTTTAACTCATGCAAGAAGTGGGCTTGGTTTTGTCAGTGGCTGCAGTGCATCCTGCAGAGTTTGTGCACCTCAAGAGACTAAATTTAACTAGAAGGGATAAAGCTGCACCACTACGGGCGCATGCCATAGTCCTTTCTCACAGCAGGCAGCGTGATGCGCTACAGCAGAAAACAACTCTGATAATGCTATTAATATTAGTGGTTAGTGCATTCTGCTTAAGTAATGGTTTACTGGGAAACCCCCACCCTCACATTTAAATAGAAAAGAGTCATACTTCAACTGTGCTCACTGTATAACTAGCTAATAATTAATAATTTTAAAATTAAAACTAAAAATAAAAAGATAGGAGAGACAGCCTTTTTGTTAAAGGGAATGAAATTATTACATAAAAGTGTTTTACATGGATATGAACACAGGCCTGGGTTGAAATTTCTTCTCTTCCCTTGTTTGAAGTGTTTGAAAACTCCTCGTATTTGACATTTCAGGCTCATCTCTACTCTGAATGTCTCTACATCTGACTGTTCTGCCCTTTCTCTATATCTAGTACACTTTCAACGTGGCAGGTATACTGGTGCAGGCTGGATTAAAGGCAGTGACAAGTTTGACAGTATTTGGATGAATGTTTTCTTATATTTTACCAAAACACTTTTTCTCCGTTTGAGTGACTGCTGCCTGCTCCACTCCGTGTGCAGTACATACGCGGGCATGTTTATTTGGCTAGCTTTGACATCAAGGCTTTTTCACATCTCTTAATCATGAAGTTTAACCATCATGAGTAAGTACCAAACGCCTTCACCTCAACGTCAAGCATAAGCCCAAAGTCCTAAAAGTCTTAATCCTTAAAGAGACCTATGGAGAGGTGAGCCGGCCACAAAGCTCTACCTCATCAATTGACAGTCTCACGCTTAACATGTTTTATTTAGTTTAAAATGGTTTCCTGTGACAGATTAATCCAACACTCAACATGCAAACGAGTAAACAAAAAAACTCCCCCCAAAAAACTGCAGCCCACAAGTTGCCCATTATGTACAGCCCCATACTGAGCACATTCAGCAGCTGTGAGCTCTTTTCTGAATAGTAAAAAAAAATCTGGGTTACACTTGCTAAACTGAAAGTGCACCACATTATAAAAAAAAACAAAAAAACAAAAAAAACAAAAACACTGTGCAAACTCCAGTAAGGGAACTGAGGGTGGGGGTGGAGAGCTCAGTGATCATAGGACCAGAGAAACAACACCCCTGTCATAGAAGGCTCTGCCACTGTGACCCACATAATCGAGTGGAGGACAAGTTTTAATTCAAGCTGTCCCAGCCCCAGTAACGCTCAGGAGGTCAGCGAGTTCTGTCTATCGACGGGCTCTCCTGCCCTCTGCAAGCACCGCCGAGGCATACGAGGGTCTGAGGGAAAACGAATCTCCTTTGGTGATACTTCAACGGTCATGTGTAAGTCTATATTTAGACATGCACAACATTGCGATTTATGATATTTGTGCTCTTCTTCGTATGACTAATAAAAGACGCTCGGTGATAAAAGGTCTGTTACAGTCTTTTGCTAAAAAAGTACTTTCTCAGCAACTACGTTGTGGTCTGACATAAAACCACGAGTGTGAGGCCGTTGTTTTAAAAACAGAACTATATGATTCACCTTCCTGTGAAACTTTGACCGATCAGCTGGCTGGGGTTTCTCTTGTGTTGCTCCAACATTAAAAAAAAACTGTTCGGTTCTATGGAAAAAACATGTCAGACATTCGTACATAATTTAAAGCAGTTCTTCGTTGTTCATGTTTTAATTCCCTCAAAATTATTTTGAAAGATGAGTCCCTGCAAACCAGCTAACAATTGCCAATCGCAACCCCACCGGCAGGATGACCAAGTGGCATTTAGCTGCTCTCTTATTCACTGACTCAAACCCCACATTCCTTCAGAAGACAGTTTTTGTTCTGCTCTGGAAATCCACTGTGAGCTGAGGGTCGCTCTAACCAGAAACCAGAGCATTTGGAGAACCAGTTCACACGCTGATGTGCGGAGCTCACTGAGGCTGCAGGGCTGGGCGAGGTTATCATCGTAAAGTTCTTTTCATGAGAGGAACTGACATGAAAGTCAGCTGATTATTGCTGATATGCAATACTATGACTTTGTCTTTTTGCATTTACAGATGCACATGTCAGAGCAATGGCAGAGAAATACAAATTAATTCTGTGGAAAATGTTGACAACATCTGAACGCTTGTTCCTTCCGGAGAAGTTTTATTGAGTGTTACACTGCAAAACAGGAACTTAAACTGATTCTTACAGAAGTGTAGTACATACCCGTCCGTCATGAGTGAGGAGGATGGAGTCGCTCTTTATGTCTCTATGGATCACACCCTGTGTGTGAAGGACAGACAACGCCTTCAGGACGGACAGACACACTGTGGCGATCTGCTCCTCATTCATCCTGCAGACGAATAGAGACACCAGTTTTTGTGATTCAGTTCACAGTCAGGAGTGAAAAGTTCTTGAGCTACAATAATACGCATCACAAAGGGTGTCTACATGTAAACACAAATGCAATTTAAGACTTCAAGACCTCTTTTAGTACAAACTTAAGATATTAAAGCTAAAACACAGTCAGTTCCAAATAACATGAAATTAAATTATCTGATTAAATTTAAGAAAATTGACAAAATTAGCAAACAAATCATTGTTTACTTAAACAACATCACATTTTCTGACCTACAACAATCAGCACAGTTTGTTAGCATTTTCACAAGTGGGGCTTAAACCCTATTCTCTGGTCATATGTTAATAAATTTGAATGTTCCTACTTCTGTAAACTAACGAGCAAATTGGCTTCCTCTTCATCGTCATCATCATTTCTATCAGTGTACTGCAAGTCTCCAGGCCTAAAATAACCACCTGCCTGGGCAAGATTTCAGTGACTTTGGTAAATAAGACCTAGAACTGTTTCATTAGCTCATGCAGGTTATCGGTCTTTTACCGTTAAACATTTCTGTATATAACAGCAAGATGAGGGTGGTGAAACTAGCACATCCATCATAATGTATTACCTAAATGTTTTCAGAGGGACAGAAATTATTTACGTGACATGACTAAAATATTCCCATCACACCAATCCAAATTTACTTTATGACATTTATAGAAAAAAAAGCCCCTATGCGTTTTAGACTTAGATGATTCAGTCTGCCAAACACTCTCACTCCTGTTGCGTGGAATGTAAAATGACACAGATGCAATGCAGTACGTTTCTGTGCTGAATAGATAGAAGACAGCGCCCCCTTATGGCGGAAATCATATCTGGTGAACAAACAGCTTAATAAGGGGCAGACGTAAATGGCTTAAAGCATATGAAAAAGGAATATAATGGGTACAGTGCCTAAAGTATTTTGGTTTCTTTCAACTAGCAAACATCGCAAAAAAACAAATCTATACAGTAAAAAAAATTGGAACTAATTTTCTCCTCCTTAAATTCCAGCATTCAGTCCTCATTAGCTTGAACACTGGAGCTAAGCTAACAGAAACTAGCTGACATCACCTTTTTTCTTGCTTTACTTCACCGCCTTACAGCTAAAGTTTGTATTCATTTTGAGACTTTATTAAATCACTCATAAAGCCTTGAACGGCCTCGCTACTGGTCATACAGCAAACATGGAGATCAACATGTGCACACATGCTTGCATCAGTGTCAGATACTTAGATAGGCTCCATGTTTATTCACTGCATATGCATAAATTAAGGTTTAGTGTGTGTATATATTGGTAATTCATATCACTATTGCAGCTGGGAGAACTCAGTAAACCCTGAAATGTCTCAGTGATTAAGAAAATGAATAGACAGGTGGATTTTTACTCTTATTATTGTTATTATTATAGCCATTTAATACTGCGAGGTGCTGCATAAATGACTGATGTATAAAGTTTCTCTCTCACCTTGTGTGTGTCACGATGTCAGTGAGCGCTCCTCCCTCCATGAACTCCATGACGACCCAGAGCTCATCCCCCACCAGGTAGCTGTTATACATCTCCACCACGTTCTCATGGTGATAGTCCCGCATGATCACCACCTGCAGTTACCACACAGAGAGGTAGGATCATCACATTACTTTGATCGCACTGAAGCCCTGCCTCGTCACTCATGAAGGGAGTCCAGTGTTTAAAATCCAAGGCGGAAATCTGCAACTGAGGTGAAGACGAGATGGAGCGTGAACCCCACAACGCTTCAGGCGGCAGCGCAGGCTCCTGAGATGTGTCTAAAGGCGACTTCTTACTTACTGTATTGGTTTTATCTTGACTCGAGTGTGGGGAGAGATTTCATGCATTTCCTACCACTCTGATGTATTAACATAAAAATCTATGTTTGGAAAGCATCAAATATTATTTTTAGATTTGAGACTATTAAAAAAAAACAGATCTGTATGAACAGAGAAAGATCTCGTCTCCTCTCTGGTTCAGCCAGCTTTCTGAATGCCTCTGAAATACAAACGCAACATTTGTATTGACAATGTTTCACTGTGCTGATTAAACTGGGTTAAATTTTGATTGTTTATTGTGTTAAAAACGTATCAAACTTCATAAATTTTAAATATACAAAAACATAATTGAATCTGACTGAGAATGCATTTTGGTTTTATTTAGATTTAACACAGTGTCCTAACTTTTCTGGGTTTGTACGTTTACCATGGACCCTTTTCAAAATAAAAGCCACCTAAAACCTCATACACTGCCTTGTGTAAATTTTTAAAAGTATATCAATTACAGATCTCCAGAGATCAGTGACCTCACAGCTAGTTAAGGCAATGGCCATCAGTGCAGTAAAAAGTGCAGAGGAAACGAGCCAACTGGAATAACCAAACGCTCTACATTCCCTACTTCTGTGTACTTTTTGCCATAATCTGGCATGTTAACTCTGACCTTTTTAAATTGCCAAACAGATCTTTTACCTCGTTGAAGAGGAGTTCTCTGCGCTGTTGTTTCCTCAGGTCCATCTTCTTCACGGCGACCAGTTTTCCTGTGGTTTTCATCGTAGCGATACACACAATCCCTGTGGAGCCCTCACCAATCTTAATGTAGTGATCCAAGTAGGTCCGCGGGTCGCCCGGATCGACCACCATCTGCAGTGCCGCCCTGAACTGCTCATGGGAAACTCTCTGGGGTTCCCTCTGTGGTGAGCGGCCCTGAGGAGGAGCACCCGATGCAGCGGGCCCAGAGGGTACAGGGGGTCGTGGGGCTGGAACGTTGGGGTGAGGGGTGTGCGGGAGCTGGGAGGACTCGGGGGCCAGGATGGGGTGCGAAGAGTGATGAGGGTGTGGGTGGCTTATAGGGGGTTTGGAGCCAGAGGAACCTCGGACGGAGCCGCTAGAGGGGCCGTTCTGAGGTGAGGACTCATGGTGTCGACCCACCTGGAAAAGAGAGCCAAACTTAAGCACAAACTTAAATCTAAATGAAGCTTTTCTGTCACAACATCTTCCAACATCTCGTGAGGTGCACGAGTGTCAGGATTATTATGGAGCTATGGTAACCGTCACAAAGAAAGCAGCTAAATCTGATCTGGAGATCTGCCAGCAGGCTCAGTTTAGACACGTCTGTGATTTTATCACTGGTTCCCTGAGGGTTCCCACCCCTACCTGTCCAGTGGGGCTGCGCCCGCCATCGCTCTCTGTCCGCGGGTATGTGTTAAACGGCCGTGTGGCTTGTTGAGCAGTTTTCATCACTCCCTCAGACATTGGCAGATTTGGGGTGCGTATGTTGGGTCCTGAGAGAGGCCTCTTGTCTCTGGGAGACTGAGGACTGCTGTCCCGTGCCACATAGCTGGACTTTGGCCTGTGGTCACCAGGCTGATCCCGCTGAGCCCCATGATCCTGAGGAGCGGCAAAAATCCAGAGAAAGTAAATTAATGGGAAGTACTCACGGAGAGACCGACAGAGAGGAGGTGCTTGTACTGCCTGTTACGCTTTTATTTTCTGTAATATTTAATATAAATGGTGAATGGAATTGCACTTACATAGTGCTTCTCTACTCTGAGCACTTAAAGCACTTTGTACTACAAGCCTCATTCACCCACTCACACACATTCATACAGCGTTTAATTCTGTGGCTAAGCAACTTCTATAAGAATCACTATTTTGCGAGAATATGTGGGCTAAAGGAGCAAGGGGTCAAACTGAACCACAACCGACCTTTTGTTATAATATTCATGTCAAACATGCCCAAATTTCCAATCATGATATCAGTGTGAAGCAAAAGGCTTCAGATTACTCTCAGTTTCAACATTTTCCCCCCCTAATTTTGGATAAATGTGATGACGCCTTCTGTTTGTGAGGGGGGAGTCAATCAGAAGAAAACTGGGCAAGAACTGAGCATCAAACAGCCTTAAAAATAATAATACAGCTGTGAATGTGAATCCAGGTTCTTCCGTGTCTACCTGGTCTCTGTCCCGAGGCTGTCTGTCTCTGTGAGGGGGAGGAGGGGGGCCTTGTCTGTCCCTCTGGGCTCTGTTGGGCTCTTGACCCCGGGGCTGCTGTTGGGGGCGGCCCTGGATCACCTCATCTGTCTGAGGAGGACGGACTCCGCGCTGACCTTGGTGGCGGGGGTCACCTCCGCTCTGCTGGTCTTGTCTGAGTCGGTCTCTGAAAATCACATCGACACAAATGTAAATACAGAACAGATTTATAATAACTTTATATTATTTCATTAATTTGCATTTCTCCTTTATTTTGCATTTTATTTATTTTCAAGTTGTTTCCAGTTGAGTTTTAGTATTTTTACTTATTACAGTTTATTACAGAGGGTGTTTGTCTGTTCAAAATAGACTTTATGATATAAACATAGCTTGCAGTGAAGACAGAAGACTCACGGTCATGTTGACATGCCAAATCTGAATGAACAAAAGGACTGAAGCCTCATTAGGCAGGTTGTGTCAAGAAGAACGAAAGCAAAGACATTTCCCGTACAGTTTTCTTTCTGTTTAATTATTTTTTGTAAACGGAGGTCATTTCAGTCAAAATAAAAAAACTCAGACAATATCTTCATTTTTTTCCTTTGCTGCAGATGTTTATTGAGACTGGGATGTCTACATGACTGTGCTGACAACCTGAAAAAATGCCACGTAATAAAACAAAACAAAAGATAAACAAACAGAGTAATCAAAAACTGAAACTTAACACAAAAACTACTTAAAATATAAAAGAACATTTATGGTAAGTACACAATATCATTTCAGTATAGTTTAGATTTCATGACAATTTACTAAGTTTCTTCACTCCTACTTAAGTAATCCAATACTCATGAGTAAGCTTTCTTTAGCTGGTCCTGAAAACATTTGGTGTGTAGGGGGTAATGGTGCCTTCCAGAGGAAGTCAGAATTGGAACACGCCCTTATCTCAGCCTCATCAACCCGAGTTAACAATCCAAAATGGTGGCAGTGAACGTAAGCAGTATTAAAATATGCAAAACTTGTAATCTGTACTGCCACTGTTGTGCATTTGTGACTCACTAAATAAGCTATGGATAGTCCAGAGATTAGGATGCATCCATGAACGTGCTGCAGTGGTGTTTTGTTTTATGCTGTATTGGTAGTAATGGATGAATTGCTCTACCTTGCTAAGAAGCAAAACAAACCCTGCTTTTCCGTTTTTTCGACTTTACGAGAACGCACTCAACAGTTCCGGCATCCAACTTCCGAGGAAGCTGGAACGAGGCAAATGTGCACGATTATCACTCCACGGGGAGCTGTAGTTCATCGTCTCACCTGTCTTGTCTGTCTGAGTAGTGTCTGTGTTGAGGATCTCCGTTCTCCTGCCCTCCACCTCCTCCTGAAGAGCTCGAGTCCCTGCGAGGGTGTGTTGGAGGACTCCCGCGCCGCAGGGAGTTGGAGCGAGTAACGGACATGGTGTCGAACTCATCCAGCAGCCATGTTAGAGACTCTGTTCCCATCCTGCTGCCGCGTACGATGGTCTGGAGATTTAAAAAAAAGAAAGAAAAAAAACGGAGGATGCATTACAATCTGTAAAGTTAGCAGGTTACACGTGTGTTGTTTTTGTATAAAAATGACTGAAAACTACAATCACGAGAATATTTTAGATCGTCTATCACTAAAGAATCAGTATGATAAACTCAATCTCTGATTTTCGCTCACCTTTCGCGGTTCTACGGTAGTGATGATGGTCGCGTCGATAAAGGGTTTGGGCCTCTGCGCCGTGTCTTCGATGAGTGACTGCCATTGCCGCGGCAGCCCGACAAACTTCTGCTCCTGCTCGTCAAAGTCCGTGTGCACACGGTGCTCAAAGTTGGACGGAGCTGAGATCTGGATACGAGACTTCTTCTTTTTGGCAAACATGATGGCAGCTGTGGCCGAGCATCAGACCTGTGTGGAGGAAGGTGGAAAGGGATGAAGGCTAACAGAAAGTAACAGTAAGGAGAAAATGCAAATGTAAAACTCCCAAGTAAAATATGTAAAACACACATGCATGCTCACAGGCAGCGACGCTCGAAAACAACTGCTGTCAAGCTTTGAAAGTCACATCTCATTTAAGGGTTTTAGAGGCTGTGGATGAAGTCTTCTCAATGAATCACTTTCTAAAAGTCTCAATTTTCTTGTCATGGTTTTAAAATGCCTCGGGTTTAATTTGCATCGTATGTTTGATTAAGCTCCTTTTATCATGTGTTCTGTTTTACCTGTTCTTTAAACACTCAGTTATACCATTTGTTTATTTTAAGTTTTCTTTTTTCATTTATCATATTTAAAGCGCTTCTCTCTCTCCCCCATGTGGCTCTCTGTTTTATGATGAACCTGATGAAGTCCACAAACTGAAACCGGTCAGTCAAATAAAGGTGTTCTACACAGTAAGAATTGCTGGAGCTTCAAGCTCGGCAGAAGTAAACTCAAATATCAAACAGTTTCAAGAAATCTGCAGGTCATAACCGGGTGTTTCCTACCAATGTTACTATTAAGACAAAGCAAAAGTACTTTCAGTCAACTCTGAGAGCTTTTTTCTTAGCAGATATTTTTATTCGTAAAAAAGTATTTAAATCTTTGCTTTGCTTGTCAGTGTAAATTTGTGTGTTTTTGGAGAGACAGACTCAATTCGTTTTTAAAAACATGATTAGGCTGAAACAAACATACTAATCGAGTCATCTTTTGTTGTACTGCTTTGGCCTCTCGCAGACGTTAATCGAGAGTCAAATGATTCAAAATCCTGTTTCTTTTTAACCATTAATCGAATGTGATTTTGGGCCAGTTTTGGCAGCACTCGCGGCGTGTCACGTACATACTCTGTAGTGAGTCATTAACAGCTCACATTTTGCCAGATAAAACAGACAAATACACGATTCTGCACTTATCACTTAAAAATAATTGTGATTTCAACTTATCACCGTGTGCAAGTGGGAGGATGTCTCAGAACGCCCTTTATCTCATCCTGCAACATTTTCCTTTGAGGACTCATATTAGATGGCCATAAGACGACGAAAAAAAGAAGTGGTTTTAATATTTTCGATATTTAACTTGTTGGAAGGACTGTGAGGCCCGACTCAGGATTGACACTCGCTTTTTACTTCAGCTGAGGGTTCTGCCATCCTGCTCCCAGAAAAAGCCTCCACGTGTCCCTGATACTTGACAACATGAGCACAGGCCCACGTGAGGCTCAACAGATCGTGCAAGTGGAAAAAAAGCCATGTAATAAACTGGCAGTCTGTCCCGCCAATGATGTTTTCTCATGTTTGACAGATGTCCACACTTAGCTAGTGACCTTAATAAAATCACCTGCTGTTGTGGTTGACTGAAACAAAAACCAGCATATGTTAGAAAACAGCAGTCTGGATCCAGTATGAAAAGAGCCACTCCCTGTAGTCAAGCAGGGGAATCAGGTAAAGCAGGTGACTGACAGGTGAGGTGGAGCAGCGTGCTCATTACATATTTAAAAAAGTCAAATCTGAAAAGTTCCCACCTCAGCGAAATCACCTGATGATTTTTTTGGATGTACTTAATGAAGCAGTGCAAAAAATGTTAAAATCACAGTAAATGTTTTCTGAACTACACAGATGTGCTGAACCAAATCAATTTTATACCCACTCCAAATATCACAATCTAAAAGGCTAAATCTTATTTTCTTCTGTGTGATTTTTGTTTCTGCGAACAACATTCAGCATCAGTCGTTGTGATTTGCTGCAAACGATCCTCTGCTTGCATATAAAGACAAAAGGTAGAGCCTGATGGGTCCCTCTCAGCACTGGCATTACTCCTCACTGTCTTTTGCAGTTCTGGTTATTCATTATTAGTCGTGTTCATTATTAGTTTAGTTGAACAGTTTAAGTGATAGGGAAAAGTCTGAATCCAACATCATCATTGTGTGGCTGGTTTGTGTACCATCACCACTCCGAGAGTCTATGACTAAGAAAAAATTCAGTTGTAGTATATTTATAGTAGGACAGTAAAATCGTACACGGCTTCATTGCACAAGAAGGATTCTGAGGATGTAATGACTCAGCTGGCTTGTTAAAAACAGCTGCTTTCTACAAAATACTGTGCTCATTCGCTCCATTTGCTCATGAAAAGAACAAAAAACAGGAGAAAGTCGAAAACAAAGTGATGAAAAAGATGCTGGGATGTAAGGATGGGGGGGATAGAGGGCGTGATGAGGCAATTCAGAGGGCGATCTGGGCGGGTCACAAGTTAACAGAGCATGAATCATGTTGCTGAGCTCACAGGCTGCTGTGGTAATAAAGTCTTTCACAGCAGGAGCGTTTGAAGTGAAGTGAGACCCGCCTAGAAACACAATGAGAAATGAGAGGTTCAGAGCCAACGACGCAGCACAGACAGAGGACATCAGTACAGAAAAATAAATCAGGATCAACGTCGGCAAAGAAAAAACTAACTGTACCTACAAAGTACTCTAAGCATTTTAATGAGCACACAAAATGAAAATAGAAATAATCAAGAACTAAAGGAAAACCCAAGGACTAAAAAAAAGAAAAGTATTCCAGTCAAATCTTAAAACCTCACTCGATTTGCCAGATGTGCGAAAGCAGCCGATGAATGGCGCAGGCAAATGTTAAATGATGGATCAAAGTAGAAATGCTCATGATCTTCAAATGTTCAATCATTAAGTTGATTGAACATTTATTTCTTGTTGACGGTTCCCTGTGTGCCAGGGATGAGCGGGTGCTGTAAACACAGGAGGTTCAGGTATCTCAGCATCATATTCACAACTGATGGGAAGATGGAGTGTGAGAAACCGGTGCAGCTTCCTCTTGGTCCTGTTGTTACTACAATATTTTATTAATAAATACCTTTTATTTTACCTACTTACGAAAATAAATTTTAACCTTAGCTTGATGCTTCCTTACACCCTAGGGAAAGACTCACAGTCTCTTCCTCCTAGTGAGGAAGAAAGTTTATTAATTCAACATTAACACTTTATCAGAAGTCAGTACCAGCAGATAATCAAAACCAAGGTATTGGTATCACATTTCAACTGGAAAAAGTTGGATCAGTGTATCCCCAGTCATGAGCTCCATTTAGTTACCCAAAAACGAGTCTGCTGGGTTAATCCTCAGAGATCGGGTGAGGAGCTCGCAGTAGAGACACTGCTCCTTTGTGTCAGAAGAAACAAGCTAACGAGGTCCCGGGGAGGTCTAACTAGGAGAGACCCTGAGGTAAAGCCCAAACTTGCTGAAGAGATTATATATCATCTGGACTGGAAGCACAGCTATAAAGGAACTGGAAACTATTGTCCGTTTCCCCCTCCCTTCGACACCTGCAGAATAACCTCTAGGATATCTGTCAAGAACAGCATGATACTAGCTACCAGAGGTCAGACAAGTGAAGCAGGAAACAAGAGAAACATGAAAGACAAGAGATGATTACAACCATCAAAAAGCCATGTATGCAACTCGTGATAAATATAAACTTCAATGAATTTGAGTGGGAACTCCGAGCAAGCTTGCCTCCACCAGTGTGTGAATGTGAGAGTGAATGAATAGTGGAATTGTAAAGCGCTTTGAGGGCCCCGAAAAGTGCTATATAAATGCAATCCATTACTATCATTATTATTAAGTCACAAGTCTATGACAAGTATGCAGTTATTTAAGAGAGGTTGAGGTAGGTGAATTCCCAACACAGTCAGATGGGATGCAGCAGATCTTAAAGCCGACAGCTCCTGACATGTGGTGCATATGAGAACAGCGTAGATAGCGGTTGAGTAAACGAGTGTCATGTGTTTTGCCTCCCTTGCACTCTATCCAGGAAGCTTCCCCTTAAAACAAACCAAGTATTTCCAGTAATATGAACGTGTCTGAAAAAGGCTATTTCCTCTTGATAGGATAAAAAATCTAATGAAATGAATGGTAGACAGATCAGCTGTGATTTATATATGCAAAGCTGTTATCTCAGTTTTCTCAACAGGATTATCAAAGACAGATTCCATTGGAAAAGAGATGAACTAAGATGAAAACAGAAAGAGATACAGACTCATTACCAGTTCATACTGTAAATAAGAACCAAGCTTTAGAGAAAAGTTTAAAAAAAATATTATTTAAATTAAACTCTGTTCTGTATTTCTATGAAATAATTTTCAGTGCTCAGTGAAATCTCACAAATAATCAAATAATTTAAGTTTTTCTATATTTAGTCAATATTTCCTTGCTTTAAATTCAAGTATTTTTCCTTCATCATCTCTTATATCAACAACCATTGAAGTTACAGGACAACTATAAAATGTAAACTGTAAAGAGAGATCCATTTTCAAAGGTCATTAACCTATTTTTTTATTCTCTTCTACGAATTTTAGTGACATCTGTACAAGAAGCGCTTGTTATGTTTATGTCTCTGTATGAATGACTGGAGAAGGTCAGGAGGAATTAGATTAGAAGTCTGTCGCTATCACCATTTCCAAATGCTGATTCAGTTCCTAAAAGTAAACAAATACAAAATGGTCCAAATTTCTTCAGCTCCAATAAAATGATCACTTCAGGAGTTAGTGATGTTGGACTAGCTAACTACAGAGCTGTGGTTAGGCTAATATCAACACATCAGAACAGGAAAGTGGGATGAGGGTTAAACTGTCCTCAATAAAAGTTCCTGTTGAGGGTCCCTGATGGACAAATGCTGTCATTAATATGTTGCTGTGTGGTTTGTTTTACTCGGAAGCTTATTGTCCACACTGAAAACTGTGAGACCTACTACGCATGAATACTGATCACAAAACTTTTGAGGGGCCGAGTAACAGTTTTTGGGAGCTCGCCTCTGTTCAAATAACACGACATGAAGAACTGCAGAACCTTAAAATACGAGAAACAGAGTCAACAAGTCAGCATTTCACAAGCAGACAGGGAAAGCTAACACTGGTGCTAATGCTAATAATGCTA